GGCCAATCGGCTTATTTTTTCATGCTCTTTCAGATAAAGCAATAAAAATTTTTATTGCCATTACCCTGATACTTTACTTTAAATTTCCGTGTTTGGATGGCCTGATCTAAACACAGGTTTCGACCAATCAGAGCACGCGTTATATATACATGCTATTTTATAAAAAATCATAACTTTAAAAAATACGGTATTCCGAATCGAATCCCAAATATCCTGCATCGGATCCTAACTAAAAATTCCAACTCGAATCTAATAGGCTTCCTCATTCAAAATACCCACGAAATCTGCATATTTTGCGGTCAAATGAGCAGTCGACTGAGCGGTATTACCAGCTGTGTTCGAATTCGTACGGTTACATACACGCCTTCCGTTACATACACGCCAAGGGCGAAATCGTGAAAATTTGAGTGTAGTCTGAGATTACGTTCGAATGGGACGACAGGAAATCTGAACCGAACACAAGTTTACATCATTTCGATTTGCTTGAAGCCAGACGAGTTCAAGCAAAGCCAACGGGTGTCGATTCCCGTGTCGGTGCATGTGTACAGTAGCGGAATTGAACCGACGAATTTTCGTACTGTTCCGACATTTTCGAGTCTCGCGCATTAAACATAGTTTGAAAATGTGAACAAACTTACCTGCAGGTAATTTACTTTCGTTCTGTTATTTCAATGTCTATATAGATCTCGTGATCCAAGCCGTGATGTCGTTGCGCGGAACAGCCGGATGTCTTGGAACGCAAAAGCCTCGAGCTGTTTTTAAAGTGCGCGATCGATGTGCTCATGGGCCATGAATTTTACTCGTCCATGATTTAAGATACAGCCTATTGCAATTGACCGTGTGGCGTGTATAAACTAAACATTTGTTTATCCTTTCAAACTTGATGTTTTTTGGATGAAAGTTCACGTCATTAAATAATTTAATTTAATTTAATTTAATTTAATTTAATTTAATTGCTTTTCCATCATTGTGTGATATAGACAAGAACACATACGCACCCACACAACACAAACACAAATACAAACACACTAAACTGATGGCTGGGTAACCACAACAGCCTGAAAAACCAATTACTGTGGGCCCAAGTCAACTATAGTGACGTAGGGCGAAAAAACAGATTTGCACTAGGCTTTGCAAACCGGTGCAAAGGTGCCATTGCCGTAATCGCATCAAATTTACAAGGTTGCAAATATTTTGGCAAATTTAGAAACCAAATTATGGACGAAAATACCCACAAATTCACTTGTGCAAATGAAAAGTAATTTGAGCCAAATTTATCCTATGCCCATTCCCTCTCAAAAAAGAGAATTGTATTTACCAATATGGGGGTAAAAATTTATTTACCAATTTGCTTTCCAAATTTGAACAAAATTTGCACAATAGCAAATTTGATGCGATTACGGCAATGGCACCTTTGCAGGGGGTTGCAAAGTTGGAGCAAATCTATTTTTTCGTCCTGTATATATATATATATTTTTAGTAGTTTTTAATTATGAACCCGGCAGCGAAGCCTTGGCGGCTTCCTGCTATAAAACGTAGACTGTATAATATGTCATGATGAATGAATAGCCGAATATTCCACCGGCCGCCAATAATTACTTTTATCGTAGCAGTGTTCCATAATCAAACATGGTTCGTATGGTTGGCAGCCAGGCGCGCGCCCTTGTGTAATTCTTCGAGAAAATCAGGAAGGGCTCCGTCCTAGGCAGTTCTCATGATCATATATCGTTCATCGGCGAAAAATGGAAACTAGACTGAAAATGTATCCATAGCCGTACGGGAAGGAAAGAATTAGGGGGGCAGAAAGAAGTTTGCCCGACTTTTTCGGATTGTGCGCGACAAGTGCTGAAAAATCTTTTTTCCGTAACAATTTATTTTGGCGACCTCCCCCCCGTCGCCAAAAAAATTTCGGTCAGTGTACCATTTTAGGGGTCCAAAAATTTTTCGGACGTACCAAAATTTTTCGGAACATCTAACAAATTTTCCCAAAAATCGAAAAATTTACATAATTTCCCACAAAATTGACAGAATTTGTCCCATTTATTTTTATAATAACCAAATATTGCCCGACTGTGAAGCGAATATTGCCACACTGGCTTTGTTTGCCTAACAAACTGGGGTTTTTCTTGTTTTGACTACTTTTTGCCCGACTTTTGCCCAACTTTTGTTGAACATTTGCCCGACTTTTCGACTTTGTAATCTTTTGGGGGGGGGCAGCTGCCCCCCCTGCCCCTTCCCCCGTCCCGTACGCCTATGAATGTATCTGACTTTTTAGGTCAACGATTACGAATGCAAACGTCTCTATGGTTGCGAAGAAAAATCTTTAATCTTTAATTAAAATTCTTTACACATGGTAGCCTATTCGGCGGATAATTATTTACAAAACTGGTTTTCAAAGGGCCGTGTATCTATCAATATACTAAGCTATGAAACACACTAATATATATGAATTGGAAAAATAGGACACAAGTAAAATGAATTCCCTTCCCCCCCGTGCGAACATGCGTTTTTGCTTTGTGACTACGCCATATGTAAATTTCACGTTGTAGTTTAAATTAAACAAGACGCTCTCTCGAGCGTTAAGTTGCTGGGGCTTTTTAAATAGTGGGCTTGATTTGTAATTGTACATAAGTTTATTAAATAGTGACACGTTGCGACATAATGTATACAGCAAATTTAATTAACTAAGGGACGGACCATTAGAAAAGTGATGG